ATTTTCTCAAGATTCTCATTCTGATTTGCAATTGCCAATTTGACTGTGTTTCTGTTAGTTTGATTTCATGTTTGTTGGAATTTGTGTGTTGCAGAGAATGAGAAAGAAATCAAGCATCTGGAATCCCTGGAAGGAGCAAAGGAGCGCCTCCGCCTCTTTCAGATGGATCTCCTCCACTATGAGTCCATCGTCGCCGCCATCAGCGGTTGTACCGGCGTCTTTCACCTCGCCTCTCCCTGCAGCGTCGATAAAGTTCAAGATCCTCAGGTGCTTTACCATACGAACATTTAGACCCGTTGTTTTCAAGTTGTTCATCTCGATTAATACAGTTTGATTGTTTCTATGAAACACAGAAAGAGTTTTTGGATCCTGCGGTTAAAGGGACCATTAATGTACTCACTGCTGCTAAAGAGCTCGGAGTTGGGCGTGTGGTGGTAACTTCATCAATCTCTGCGATAATGCCTAGCCCAAAGTGGCCGGCGGATAAGGTCAAGAATGAGGAGTGTTGGACCGATGAGGAGTACTGCAGGCAAAATGGAGTAAGTGTTCTTTCTGTTCCCTTTCTTTCTGAATTATGTATTTTTACTCAATCGTCAAAAGAACCGTAGGCTGATTTTTTTTTTCCCAAGTCAGATATGGTATCCACTGTCTAAGACGCTAGCAGAGAAGGCGGCATGGGAATTTGCAAAGGAGAAAGGATTGGATGTGGTGGTGGTGAATCCAGGCACCGTGATGGGTCCTGTTTTCTGTCCAACGCTTAATGCTAGTATGATAATGTTTTTACGCCTTCTCCAAGGTAGTATTCTCAGCAGATAACTGCTGCAGTTTCTATTCAAGTGGGTTTTTCCTTTGTTACTACTACTTAACACAATTTCTATTCAACTGTTTTTTCTATAATTTCAGCAGCATATCTGCCCCTCAGTTAATTGTCATGCAAATCAACTTTGTTGCTCTTCTTAACTCATTACTTGATTGTGACATGGTCCAATTTAGTTTATCCATATTTAAGGAAGGGGCTTTTTGGCATGCACCTCATGTGTTTGAAGTTTTTGGTCAATTGTGTATGTTTTGTTGCTTAGCAGGAGAATTAGTAGAAGCTAGTGGGATTAGTGTTATGTTACTCTCTTTTGGGTGTCAAAGTTTTGTTTAAGCATGTAAGCTGGATAGTTCCCTGATCTCAGATTCTAGAATGAGTGAGTTTCTTCAAATTGTTTCAGGCTGTGCTGATCCATATGAAAATTTTTTCATGGGATCTGTTCATTTCAAAGATGTTGCCCTGGCACATATTCTGGTGTATGAGAATAAATCAGCTAGTGGAAGGCACTTGTGTGTTGAAGCTATTACTCACTATGGTGACTTTGTGGCCAAGGTTGCTGAACTTTACCCTGAATTTAATCTGCCAAGGTAATGAGTTCAGCTTCACAGTATGAAATTTTAGCCATTTAAGTTTTTGTTTTTGTTTTTATTTTTATTTATTTATTTATTTTTTTTTTGGTTGAGGAACTAAATTTTCTGGTGAGCATATTTGAAATCAAGATGCATCCAGATAACTGATTATTATTTTGCTTAACCAAGAATTTATGTTAGATTCTACGAGGTACACTTCTTGAGCAGTTTTTCACTTAATACCAGAGCCAAAAGTTTGTTAGCTGGAGGTCTTGTTAATTTGGGGATACAGTATGCTGAGTTTTTTTATTTGAAACATGGTACTTCTGTGACTTTTCTGTTGCCCCAGCCCGGAGGCATGTCAGTTTATGTACCTGTAGTTGTTAGTTTTATTTACTTTGGCACCATAAATTGTGTCTATGTCCATGTATCTGCAGGAACAGAGATGAGGAGTTCACTGAATAGGTACCTGTAGTTGTTTATGATAACCGATTTCTTATTGATTCATTCATTTAAGGCCAAACAGCTCCTCCTCCCCTCCCTTACCTCCTCTTAAGAAAAAAAGAAAAAAAGAAAAAAAGAAAAATGAAGGCCACCAGAAGACTTCTTCTGTATTGGATTAATGGTAAATATTTGTTGAGGGTGTCACAACTCAGTTATTGGGGCTATGGGATTTGGGAAAACAATGGAGTTGCCTCAGGGAGGAAAATTCTTTTCCTCTGATTGTTGTTAGTACAACTCTATTTGGTTTGTTAAAAGTCTCCTTCTTATCATACCTTTATGGCATGATGAATCTGTTGCAAAGCCTTTGAAATCTCTGTTCTCATATTTCAATTTGTGCTTGACCGCTGCTGCCTAATCCATATTTTTGTGCCTGATGTAGGTTGCCGCGGGATACACAACCTGGACTATTGAGGGCGCAGAATGCAGCAAAGAAGCTGATTGACCTGGGCTTAGAATTTATTCCCATGGAGCAAATTATTAAGGATTCTGTTGAGTGTTTAAAGAGCAACGGATTTATTTCTTGAATGAAAATCGGATCCAATACGTCCTGTTATGTTAGTGTACTTATGCAAGCCTTTTTTTTTAATGGTGTTGTACTCCTATAAGCTATGAAGCAGTATGAACAATCAGACTACTATGAGATACGAATATAATAATAGAAATAAAAATAGGTAGTACCATAATATGTAAATCATAGTAAGTGACTGTGTAATAAACTACTTTGCTGAGGCTGATGTGCAAAATTTTGTAATTTTGATGGCATCAGCAAGTAGCAACTGCTTCCCCTCTTCAACCGAGTAAAAAGGTGCAAATAAGGATTCAAACTTTCCCCTCTTCAACCAATTAAAGGTGCAAATAAGGATTCAAATTTTGCATTTTTTTTTATTTAAGGATGTTAACTTGATCAATTTCTAAATAAAGAAGTCAACTTTCAATTTTTTTCTAAATAAAGGTGTTAATTTTGTCAGTTTTTAAATAAAAATGTCAACTTTCAATATTTTTTATTTAAATATGTTAAATTTCAACTTTTTTTATTGAAGGATTAATTGAATAGTGATGTTGACGTGATTAACATATTTTTTTAGGTTAAATATTTGAATTGGTCTCTCGACTTTTATTTTTGAACCAATTCATCCTTAAACTTCAAAAAGTACCAAAAATGTCCTTCAACTTCAATTTTCAATTTTTTCTTTCCGTCAGTTAAATGTTGATGTAGCTAATTTTTTTACTAAGTGATTGACTATTTTACATTTTCAATATTAGGTGGAAAATCCATCATGTAAAAGATGATTATGTGGATTTTTTAAATTTTAAATAATTTACAAA